TGGGGGGGTGGGGAGAGAGGAGTGAAATTCTACCAAGTAGCTAATTGACCACTCCTGTCTTGCGTATAACCTAAAGCCTTATGTAACGCCATGTAACGAACACGAGTTCACCCTAAGACGAAGACCTTGAGAAGTACACGTACTAGAAGATGTCCCTACTCTCTTTCACCAACATCATCACATCTCACCCATCTTCCTCAAGTATTGAAGGCGATATTAAAGTTTTAGACAAAGGAAAAAAGGAGAAGTGGATGTTAGAACTGCACTTGAGAAGTCCTTTTGCGAAGACGATACATCGGTAAGAAGATACTGAAGTCACGTCGAACAAAAGTATTTAAAGTCATACTGATTGCAATCTAGGTGCGCTCGACGAGAAAAAAACGTTTAAGGGAATATAGCCGTTGTGACGAAACGAGCAGACTGATCACTTCAAACTCAATGGTTATCTCCCCACAGAAGAAAGATATAATAAAACAAATGGCTGTCAGACTGCGCAAAGAAGCATATGGTCGAAACGATAAATGCACTCCATCAAACCCCCTCCCCCCCCCCTCCTCCGGATTCTAAATTATCACACCTCTCGTCCTCATACACACGTTCTTAATCCTACTCATCGAGTTACTCCTACGTGTTACGATCTTTCTCTATGCTTGTTTCTATTTATTAACAGACACTTCTCCATACACACGAAGCAGCGAAATGTAGCGTAATGAATGGCGTCTAATATGTCACACTTCTTGCGTAACAAGATCAAAAGGAGGAACTTACTCGAAGTAGCTTGGTACTCAACCAATTCCTTGTACTTCTTGCGGTAAAGAGTTAGTTGAGCCTGTAGAAAGAAATTCAATAAATTCACTTCAATAGGAATGAAATGGGGGTTAATTAATACTCACACAAATAGGGTCAAGCTCCTGATCCACTCTCGAGAGTTCCTCCATTTTTCCCTCTAAATCGCGCTCCCTGTCAGCCTTTCGATGTCGAACCTTAATAATAATAGAAGTAATGAGAGAAAAAAGTAACGGTGTGGGAGAAAGAGAGACGAGATGTAATTGGATGATAAGATTTGGGGATTTCAAGAGGAGAAATTCATTTAAAAACAAATAATTTCTCAAACTGTCTCAAATAGTAATGTCTAAATCAATATTGAGCATTTCCACGAAGTCGTGTAATATACCGCATTTACTATCTATAAACAAAATTGGGGAAAGAATTTACCCTCCAATATTCAAACGAGTACGCTTTTACTTGGAATCCAGAAATGCAGTTAAAAAAGCTTGCAGCCTGGTGACAGTTTTGCTTGATTAACTCAACTGTACAAAAGCAGCCCGAGTACCGAGATCTCTTGTCTTTGCCTCTCCCTGTCCACCTTCATCTCGAATTATCCTTATGTTCCTAGCGTCAAGGTACTTTCGAGGGTAATAATATTAATACGCTACTGATATGATATAAGCAATAATAATTTTAGAGATGATTTTGTTCATTAAATCCTCAATTTATGTCAATGAAATACACCCCCTTTTTTCTTCATCAAAATTAAATTTAACATTTGATTAAATACAAAAGCTAATTGATTAGCTCAAGATTCGGGTTCAGAAATGCCAAGAAAGCAATGCAGCATCCCGAGAATATAAGCCCGAATAGTGCGGAATTCGTCGCGAAATCGCATTGAAGGTTGGTATTTTATAAATACTAACGCCCGAAACTCTATTTCCATACAGATTGTTATTATTCAATACCTTACTATAGTAATTAAGATATGTAACATAAACGTATAAACCAATAAGAGGATTCGCTACTTTAAACTAACCTGGTTCGCTTCATCTTTAGACCGGGTCAGGTGTTTCAACTCAGCCCGATATTCCCTCGCCTTGGCCTCCTACGGCATCAAACATATGCATAAGCGAAAGGCATCCACAATAAATCAAATTATACTGAGTATAAGAACCGACCAGATCAGTTCGGGATTTGCGAAGAGCGTCGAGTGCCTTAACGTAGCGAGAGGAAGCAAAGAGGTCATCAAAACGTTCTTTAACTGATTTAGCCTCCTGCAAGGGCCTATGTGTAGAAAAGTGGCGGTATACAACCAAATGAAATCCATTACCAGTTAGAATCCTCCTGATGGCAAAAGACTACATTCTCAAAGACAGCTTTTGAAGCACCCAAGCTATTAACCATCTACACTTGAACTAAGAAATTGCTATTAATTACCTCTGCATCCATTTCACCAACACGCAAACTTCTGCTAGTTACCGTCCCATCTGGGTTTACTCTCTTAATTGCACCATCAAGAGTTTTTAGACTAGGGGCTTTTGCCTAAGTAAGAAACAGGAAAATGAAAATTAACCCTCAAAAATACCGTTCCGCGTTGGGTAGCGACAAGATTCCTAGCAGCGACCATTGAGCAATTTCTAACATCTTTGACTTTGAGAGCGACTTTGGCTTTAACTTCAACAGAACTCGTCAGTTTTGGGTCATGAATAAATGATGCTCCAGTCTTAGCACCAGGAGGTAATTCACCTGTCACGGCATACTTTAAACATTCAATGATTGTCTAAATCGAAAATAAGACTGGGAAAATTTACCGTTTTTCCTGTTCCATTTGGTCCAAGGATCAATGTAACAGGAGTGGAAAATGATATTTGTTGTGGGTTTTCTGGTCCGAAGCTTCGGATTCCTTGTATACGCATTTCCTCTAACTTAGACATTATTGATAGGTTTCTTAAAACTACGTAAGAATAAAAAGTGCGACGATAATAGTCCTAAGGCACATAACATGCACCAAAAAAATAAAAAGGAAGAAAAGGAACGAATTTTATTTAGTCGAACTAAAAATCGACAAAAAGAAAATATTGATCGACTTCGTGAGTGCACAATGCCATCAAGGCAGACAAAAGGAATTACATGCGAGATAACGAATTTTAGACGGTGCGCGATTATCGTATCTGATGCCTAAGCATCGTAACAAATCGCCGGGTTGACAAATGCTACTCAATTCATACGTTATAATTCCTCGATGTAATTGATGTTACTTAGTTAATTACGGAAAAACTTTATAGTGAAGGATTTTGTAAGAAGGGGATGCCATCTCTTATGCAACCCTCATTTGTACCGCACCGCTCCAGCTCCCAATCAAAATACATTTAACCACGAGGCGCTGACCTTGATAAGTAAAGTTAATTAGCTGAGCTGATACAGTTGTTACAAGAACATACTGAAAAACTTAATTAGAAAAATATGTTAGGTTGCACGTTCACTTATAAAAAACCGATTTCAAATTTTAAGTTCTTATAAAGTCAAATTTTTCTCCCGCTGGCTTTGAAAATCATATGACAAATGGATATTAATTAGCTCTAACTACGAATAAATTGAAGACCTATTTCCGGGAATGAACTCGTAATCAGCGTACAAAATAGATGACTTTGGAAAATAATGGCAGTGGTAAGTTCCTCTGTTACTAACAATAATACCTTACATTCGAATTTGTATGTGTAAAATACACTTGATGAGAAATCGGATTTCAATTACAACAGCTTCCGACAGGCTAAATTATTACTGTTTCCAATATACAGTTAGATGAAGTAGAGCAGGAAACGTGCGGATAGTGTCAAGCATGAGGGTTTTATTAATCACGCAACAAGAGACCTGCAAATTACATATAAATATACAAATATATGCTATTTATTTAAAAAAGTGTTGAGAGATCACTACGGAGGTTCGTGATGGATCTCCTGCATAGAAGGTTATAATATTTCGCCAAAAATGCATCTCATAATTCCAAACTTCTTCATTATTCGCATTTAATTCTCACTTCATTTTGTTCCACTATATTTAAATTAAAAATTTTCACTTCCATTAATGTTTATGCATAGCATAGATCGACATGTAGATAGAGAAAATCCTTCGCGTTTTGGTATAGCAATATAGGCCGTTTTTAGTGTCCAGCAGTAATTATAACTCTCAAAATTTCCTGGAGAATCTAAGCGTCCGTTGATTCTTGGTGAAGTGTATGAGGTATCATTGCAGAATTTAAAAGGGGTTTTAGTGAACTATTAGTATTCAGTGGGTCATTTAACTCTTATCAATGGGTCTTATTCCGGTATTTACGTATGCGTGAGCATTAAATAAAATTATTAAAAAAAGAACATGAATTCTTGAGGCACTATTGTTCCCGTAATGTGGCTAATTTAAATTAAACTAGTTACATAGGATAATCAAAATCATGTTGACTGTGCAGTATAAATTTTACACAAGTTTACGAGACCATCACTTTGACAATTGTTAGTACATCAATTTAGTCGATCTATAATTAATTCTTTCAATTCATTTACAAGTAGTCAATTATTACATTTCAATCATTATATAATCATCATTAAATTTGTAACAAAGCCTGCTTTAAGGGTTAATCGTCACATTATATCAAACATTTTTATAAAAATAATAAAATAAATCATATTAGTGATGACTGCATGAAATAATTCGGTAACCCGTTGAAATCAAACTTAATTGAGTACTGAAAGCATGAATTGCTGTCGTACTTGGAGTGTTTAAATGCATAAACTTATATGCCAGTGACCTATTTGCGCCTGAGGCTATGTTGATTTCGTTGACTTTCGTTGAATTTGCGTAAGTTTCTAATGCTAGGTTAGGTTGACTTTCAACTTTATTCATTTTTTGAAATCCCTTTTATAAATATACTAAGATTGGCAGTGTAGCAATATTTCGGGTTAAGTGGTTTCATCAATTATAATAATAATTCATACAACATGTTTTGTTTTAGAATATCTTTGGACAGTTAACGTCTTATACGGCGACTCATTTATGTTTCTTGTTGCTGATTGTTTCCTGTTCGATTTTTGACACATTTTTTAAATTTATTTGAAAAGTTCTTCATCATTGGAAATGCCTTTCCTGCCGGTATGAATGTCACTTTCGTAATATGCTTTTTTAGACTAAGAAACTTTTTGGATCTCCTCGAAGAATCTCCATCTTTGTATTTATTCTTGTTATACTGAGCATCCAAGGGTTCACATGGATAAAAACTGGGAGCGTTCTCTTTCTAAAATTCCCTCTCCATGCTCCCAAAGTTGCTAAAAATCTAACCCTTGATACTGATGTACATATGGTTAACCGACCCTCTATTCTGATTGAACTGGCTTCTGCGATGAAGTATTCGTGGAAGGCATACACAACTTATGCTTGGGGAATGGATGAAGTCAATGTGATAAGCAATGTTGGTACCCATTGGATGGATGCAAGTCTCACTATGATCGACTCTCTTGACACTCTTTGGATGTTCAACATGAAGGAGGAATTCAATCGATGTCGCGACTGGATCACTACTCACGTAAATTTTGACGTCAATCGGGATAATTCCAACGTCTTTGAATCTACCATTCGTCTTTTGGGTGGATTGCTGAGTGCATTTCATGTCTCAGGAGAAAAGGTTTTCCTCGAAAAAGCTGTATGTTTTAAATACTCATCTCTTGATTTAAAAAAGATTATTTGAATAAAGGCTTAGTATAGGATATCGGGAAAATGGGCTTGTCCCTTATTCTATTGGACGTATTTTAGTTCACTTTCCAATATTTCTAAAGTATTGTTAAGGTTAACATAGGACAAAATAGAATAATATTTATTCATTAAGAGCAGTATAATTTTTGTTTTGTTTTATATAATATTCTGCTTGGAATTTGTGGCTATTTAGGGGCTTCTGGGGCTACTAGAGTTAATCCCCTCTTTTCCTTCTCGTCCGTTTTATTAATTTCACTTGGTCTAATCTTGTTTTTATCGTGCTCCCCTTTTTTAACTTTGTAGAAGCTTTTAGGAGGTAAGCTAATTGTGGCCTTTAACTCCCCCTCTGGTCTACCATACACAAACATCAACTTCGGGACACTGCGCGCTTCCCTTCCAAGCAATAGCCGAATTGTCACCCTGTCAGAAGTCGCCACTCTTCAGCTAGAATTCAACGAACTCGCCATGCTCCTTCAAAATGCCAGTTTTGCTGTAAGTCTGCCTGCTGTATTGTTTCGGCATTTTCCGAAAATCCGCTCAGGGCGGTTAAGCGGAATGTAATTAACCATTTTTGGAACCAAATACCCACCCACCGGCGACTTTTCGGATGTGAGAACTTTCGTAAAACTCCGATACAAATCAAAAGTCATCACTATTACATCGGTGTTTTTCCCCGTCCTTCAAAGTATTGGGTGCTTTATAAAAGCCTTTTGATTTCTTCTTATTTAAGTAGCCACTGGCCTTTATGCTCAAGCTCTTTTTCCTTCCAATTTGAGGGGGAATAGTACAGGCCTGGAGGTGAATTAATGAGGCATCATTGTAAATTTGTGTAGCATATACTAACATAAGCATTTTATAGACTTTATCTTGGGCCGATGTCAGGACACAAGGATATTTTTGGGCAAGAATCTCTAGTGTGGGTGCTAGGAAATATTTTTGGAGTCAAGTGAAATAGTCGGTGGGTCACAAAATTTGTCGATGTACACGTACTCCCCTGGCAAAGTCTGAGGTCACAAGTGCTGGGCCTATCGGCACGCACTCATCGGTTAGTACAATTTACCTAATTGGTCAAAATTTAGCTTTTAGAGGGGGGGGGGGTCAGATTGAAATTTGGCATCAGGGACATTCCATGCTGCCTCTCTACGGCCAGACGAAAATGGAAATGTGCATTTTTAAATGAACTGGCAATTTTTTAGATCGCTGTGCCGCTCACTATTTTCAATTCGTAACATTTATGCCTTTCACTTGTTACTAACTTCTCTTGCAAATTGTTAGATAAGTGTTCTCCATGCTTCTAGATCTTCACAGATGGGTTGTATCTAATCTTTCTTTTACTCTAAAAGCGCTTCTTTGCATTAACAAAAGATTTGCCCAATAATGTGTTTCAGCAGTTAAGTTAGCCATTAATTTATGATATTCACTTTAGTGTTTTTGCTCAAAGAAGGCGTTGGAGATTGGTTGTTATTGCCAACTTGAGTTCCCTAAGTTATGGCTTACCAACACTGAAAGTGCTTTGGCAGTGCTCTCGTTAGTTAACAAAAGGCCATGGGTTCAATACGCATGAGTAATAACTTTGATAGTATTTTTTTGAGTCCACTATTGCAAAACGTTTTTTTGTGTGTGTTTGGTGACTTGTAGGGACCAGCAGCCAATGTGTACCGGATTTTGGATAAGGTGAAAAAACTCTCAGGCCTTATCTCGACGGATATAAACATGTATCATCCGGAAAACCCAACCCTCTCCACAATAACATTGGGAGCACGAGGTGACAGCTACTATGAATATCTCCTCAAGGTAGTCAACTCCCCTTTGGCTGTTTTTTTTTTATTTTCTCTCATTGGCCAGTAAGATGACACGCTCTGCTGAACAGAAGTAATTGCGTTGCTGTAAGAGAATCTTACTGAATACGGGGACACAGCAACGGCCATTCGAAGGTCACATATCTGGTTTAACCTCCTGACCGTACTTGTATCACGTGAGAACTCAGGGGAGCTTGTGATCAAAAGTAGAGGTGCGGTGACATGTTTAAGACATAAAGTAGATTGTCGATCTCTCTCTTCATTGGAACCTCTTAAGGGAGTAAAATTTGGAAGTGTGGAACTTCACAAACTTTTTACAAGAAGTACCTTAATCTCATAACAATTGGACCATCCGCTTTATGACGTACCACCCCTTCCAGAGTTTCTCAATCATAATTCTCTTCGACCATTTATGCTCCCCCTTTCATACTGCTGTAGATTACAGTTAAATGAGAGGCTGCCCGAATTGTCCCTTTTGAGACACGATTTTAATTCGATTAACTTGATGAAGATTATTTGAGAAACCCAAAACACTTCGAAATGTTAACAACCAATGGGATATATGTATATATATATTCCCAGAATTAAAGGCTTTTGAAGAGAAAATGAGTCGCTGTAAATGCATCATCATTGTGGACGATTTAAACTCCCGACTTTGCCAGAATCCTCATATAACTTACATGAGTGCAGTGGGCAGCAGAAAGTGTTACATTGTCTTGTGGAAGAGATCATTTTTTTCCACTAAAGCCTAGGTAAAGACGCTGTGCGGCGTGCCCTCCAAGAATGGATCAAGGTGCTGTCCTTAAGTTCCCTCTTGCTTCATGACAAAGGAAATCGGCTTTTCTCAATATTCGAGCAACCAGAGAAGCAGGTACCAAACTCAGATCATTATTTGGTTGCATCTCAACTAAGTATTATGACTTCACCGAGAAAGACACGAGCATAAATCAGACGAGAAGTTGTTGACAGAATAACGGAAGTGACCTCATATCAAAGTCTAGTGTCAATGCCAACAAACGCCTGAAAAGGCCATCCTGGAATACAAAGACTGAGAGCATAAGTATATGGATGAAAAGTGTTGCCAAGACTACTGACGGAGTAGATCGGAAACGCCGTTTTGAAGTGAGAAAAGGGGACCACGACGTGAAATGGTGAATCATATGTGCCTCCTATAAAAGGTATGGAAACATAGAGCAATCGCTAACATTGAAGTCACCAAATATTTAACTAAACGAAACTTCCAGATGTGTTGGCCATTAATGAGGCCAAAAAGCCTGTAGTTCTCTTCGCAAAGTTCCTTTGAATAACTTCTCGAATGTGGTCTAATTTAAAACGGAATAGAAGGTGGTTTAATGCCATTGTAAAATTTAAAACGCTACCTTTGATTGTTACTTAAGTCTCTTTAAGTGAAACACCACCAATTGACAATCCGATTAGTAATATTGAAACTTATGGAAACCGCAGACTTTTTCATTTGTATCTCATGGTTCTTGCCGAGCCTTTAACACCATTTTAAGATTTTCAGATTAGGAGAGTTATATATCCTCAAGCGGTTTAAGCCACACAATTGAGGTCTCGTATCCTAGATCAGCGATTTCCGGACTCATTATATCTATTTAAGCTGTCCCACTATGAAATTCTATGAGCCATCCTTAATAAACACAGACATCGCTTGTCATTTATCCATTGTCAAGGTTGTCCCCCCTTCTCCCTTTCACACCTCTTTTGCTTTATATCTCATAACGCCCTCGTGCACTCTTGAGTTTCAATCGCTGTTATGGCCAAAAACTATATAGTAACCCTATGAACATTCGCACTTTTGATGAATCAGAGCCTCAACATTCCCCGTGAGGTTTGTGCTAGTTTAAGGACATTGTAATCGTCATCTTATTCCTTTCGCAGGTGTGGATTCAGACGGGAAAGAAGTCCGAGTGGCTTAAAAAGGAGTACATCACTGCTGTGAATGGAATGCGAGAAAACTTGATCCGCAAAAGCGTCCCTAATGGACTCACTTTCGTTGGTGAATTGCACGGGTCGCAGTTCTCCACAAAAATGGTATGTTCTTACTGCTTTGATTTGACTAAAAGAAGAGGCGTGAAAATGACCCTTAACAAATATGATTTCATCAATTTACAATAGAATCCCTAGAAAATTGAGGGGGAGGGGGGCTATAGATCAATGCATCGCGCGCATGTAGATCGTGTGCAGCTTGTGAATGTCTTTCCATAATCAAAGGGCTCAATGTCCTTTGATTCTCACATTCTCGCAGTTGTAAGACACCTTTTTTGCATTTTCTCCTCCATGGAGCTCGGAACTAGTATCGTATTAGTAAATTTGCGTTGGTCTAGTCTTTTTGGGGATTTCGTACATTTGTGTAGCCTTGCAAGTTTTCATTCATTTTATTGTTGCTTCGCTAAATAGGGCCCATAAAAGTGAGGAGAATTATGTCTTTTGTATGTGAAACTTTAGTGGGGGGGGGGGGGGGGGGGCGCTGTTTCTCCCTTAGCTTAAGTAGAGATGTAAATTTGTTTTTCGCTTTGCGAAAAGGAGCTCTGTGACGAGTATACAGCGCGTGTTTTACTCGCAACTTGGTGTATACTCGAACTTGTATTGTTTTTGTTGCCCTTCTTCTTCTTCTTCTTCTTCTTCAAGGATCACTTGGTGTGCTTTTTGCCCGCAACTCTGGCCTACGGTTACCTTCATGGAATGCCCGCCGACCACCTTGAATTGGCGATTAGCCTGGGAGAGACTTGTTTCCACTTGTACAACAGCACCAAAAGCGGTCTCAGTCCAGAACTAGTCTACTTCAATTTGGCCAATTCGAACAAATCGGATTTTTACATTCGGGTAAATTTATTCTCCACCCCATTGTCATTTAGCGTAAACAAACTGGAGCGCGCTCGCTCGCCCGCCCGCTACCTTAAGCCGCATTAGTAGTCATTCTCATATTGTGAATTTAATTTTTTCAAAAATTTATTTATTTCAAATGGCAGGCGTTTTGATGGTTATCATTAGCCCTTTAGCTGACTTCAGGCTTCACAGAGAGGAGGAGGAGGAGGAACATCAAAGTGACAAAAAGTTGAGAGGGTGAACAGAAGAGTGTTTTAAAGATGTAAAAGAGACAGACACAAAGGTAGATGACAGGTGAGGTGAGTACTGTGAAAGTGGTGACATACAGTGGAGTCATGGTAATTTGAAGTGAGAAGTCAACTGCCACTTAATAGACTTCTTTGCCGTATGAGCACGTGGAGGTAAGTCTATCGCACACCCCTTTCTTTTGTTCCTCCGAAGAGCTACATTTTTTCAAAAATAAAAGGCAATACAATAGTTCGTTTCCAGTAGTAAAATTTTGTCCTATTAACTCGAGTAATTTATTCCTTCACATTCGATTTAGATGTTTTTTATCCTTACGGTGCTTCCGTTTTTGTTTTTCAGCCTATGTGTAGTCATTTTTTCCCAATAATTCCCTTTATTTGTATCTCAATTTGAGGACTCCAGTTAGAACTCGAAAGCGACGGCTTTCGAGTTCTACAGTGCTAAAGAGAAGTGGCTGTGGAAATGGAAGATTTTCTTACAGCTTGGTTTGTGACGTCCATGTTCGTGGACAAAATTAGAGCGACGTTCATTTGGCTAAGGCAACGAGTGTTACTGTGCCACCTATTCCTCATGTTAGCGATGCAATTGAAGTGTCATGGTACAATGCTAAGGTACTGCCTGAAGGCTAACATATATAAGGCAGCGGGGGGTGTTGGCAGTGAAGTAACCGAGGGGTGGTGATTTGGATGTGGATGGATTGAATCCTAATTACGAATTAAATATGCGGAAACAGGTTTCGAGCAGGTTGGTATGCATTTGAGGGTGCTGATATCTGTTTTCTAATTTGAATTGAGCTCTTGATTGAGAACCTGCAGATGATGTACGAATGGGCATAAAATTCTCGGTGCTGAATGGTCTTGATTAGTGCTACTGTTTAGTACTCGAAAGCACATTTATTTAAGCACTGGAAGGAATTGAACCCGAAACCACCTTGACTTCCATGGTACCAAGAGGTTAGTGTAGATGCTCATTAGACTCAATAAGAAAGCTCAGAGGTTCATTGATAGAGAGAAATGCAGTTGAGTGCGAAAATGAGGTCACCAAGAAGATATGTGTGTTTGTGTGGGTCTATGCGCATTAATGTCTCAATAAGTGAACTGCACGACATTTCTTATGTTTGGATGTAGTTAGGTCGCAGGTCATGAGCGACGCATCAAGATGGTAGAATAATGCCTACGTAAAATAGGGATTTCAGAATAAATGTGAAAATGTTCATTTGGGAAAAGTACTTTAATATTTGCCTTCCAGGAAATAGTAAAGAGGATGGGATTTAGATGTACGACATCATCTTAATCATATATATATATATATATATATATATATATATATTCTGCAACTTCCAAACTTTTATTGGTGTAGAGATTGGACTCATTTAACCTATTACGACCGGAAGCGATCGAGGCATTTTTCTACCTCTACCGAATCACCAAAGATCCCAAGTACCAGGAGTGGGGTAGACAGATTTTCCGAGCTTTCAATACCTACTCTCGAGTAGAACCAGCAGGCTATGCGCCGCTTCTTGATGTGCAATTGGAGGTCCCGGGTTACAAGGACAAGATGGAGTCATTTTGGATAGCTGAAACCCTCAAATACTTCCTCTTACTATTTGATGACAGCCTAGCCTCCAAATACGATCTCCGAAAGTGGGTCTTCAACTCGGAAGCTCATCCTTTCCCGATTCACTCTCCGGACACCATTTCCACTATCCGGGACTTCTATAATCTTTGAATTTGTCTGCCTTACTTCTAGCGGAATGTAGCCCCTTCTTGCCCCC